GCGATTTCCCGCCGGGTAAGTCGTGGTGTTTGTTGTTGTTGTGGTTGTTTCTTCCCTTTTGACTGATGATGTTTGTCCGTCTTTACCTGTGCATATGTGGTCGTGGCGTGCCATGAGAACGGGTGGATGGACGCGGAGGGCGTCATCCGATGGCTTGAGGAGTGCGTCAAGCTTTCTTGAAGCCCCGGTTCGGCAGTTGTGCGAAGAGCTCCATGCTGGTGCTGGATTCCTACCGCGGTCACCTTACCGAGCGGGTGAAGGAGAAGTTCCGCGAGCTCAACTGCGTGCCGGCGGTCATCCCATCGGGCTGCACGGCAGAGGTTTATCCCCTCGACGTCTCTATCAACAAGAGCTTCAAGGTTTCAGTCCGCCAGCAGTAGCAGAAGTGATTTCAAGAAGAGGGCCAGGAGCAGCTGACAGCAGCAGGTACGATGTAAGCGAGATGCATAAGCTTGTCTACCCCCCACCCCCCTCCTAGCTCTAACGGTTTTTCGTGGAGTCTTTGTCCGTGCAGGGAATCTCAAGAAGCCCCCCCCCCACCCGAAGTGGTCCTGCGATGGATCTCACGGGCGTGGAAGGCCGTGCCCGCTGACCTCATCAAGCGCGCCTTCCTCACCTGTGGCATCAGCAACGCGCTTGACGGCAGTGAGGACAACCTCGCCATGGCGCACAGGCGGACCCAGCTGACCGCCGAGGTGGATGTGGACGACGACATCATTACCGATGGCTTCTTTGGCAACAAGTGCCAGGAGCCCGAGTCTGACGAGGAGGAGTAGGTAGTGGTAGTTGGTGCCTTGGTAGAAAGGCCTTTGTAAAGGCCTCTTCATTGAGTTTGAAGTAGGTGGTTGTATTTGTTAGTGCTAGATTCTTAATGAAAAGCCTCTGAAGATGCTAATTGTTAGTGTTCAATAGAAAAAGAAAATGCATGTTTCAAAGTATGCGCTTCTAATAAGTACGGGTACAAAATGGGGTGCGCCTATAATCGAGGAACGGCCGTAAGCGCCATGCTCCATATAGAAGCGCTGGCGCCCTTAATCGGACGGCGCCTATATCCGGGGCGATACGGTACCGTATCACCCCGGATATAAGCGCAGGCCTATTAAAAGCGCATGCGCTTCTATCTGGAGCAATGCGCACCCCTTAAAAAATCGTTACTTATTATAAGCGCACCCTTGCTTTTTTTTGTAATCTTTAAAATTATTTGTTTTCTATCTTAAGGTTACATAGCCTACATTTCTAAAAATCTCCATTAACTAAAACAATCACATACAAGTATGGTCACTACCGTTCACCCTAAACACCATCAGCATGCCTAGTCTACCCTTAAGCCTATTCTTCCTCCTCGTCCGATTCAGGCTTCGTGGAGTTGTTGCCGCAGAACCCATCTGCTTGAATGTCGTCGTCTACCTCTACCTCATGGGACAACTGGCCTCTCCGGTGCGCCACCACCAGACGGTCTTCGCTCCCGTCAAGGGTGTTACTGATGCCGCACATGAGAAAGGCTTTCTTAATCAGGTCACCGGGCACAACCTTCCACGCCCGAGAAATCCACTTGATGTTCCCTACATCACACGGAAGGGAGCGGGGAACACATGAGTCCTCAAGCAAGCAGACAAGCACACGAAATGGGGGGTCAGAATGTTCATGCCAGCCTGCTCAATCCAGTTCTGGTACTGCTGACGAACACTCGCTTTGAAGCTCTTGTTGATCGACACATCGAGCGGCTGCAAGTCTGCCGTGCGCCGAGATGATCGCAGGCACGATGTTGAGCGTCGCGAATCTCGCCTTGACTTCGAGTGTCAGGTGACCACGGTAGGAGTCGAGCACCAGCATGGCGCTCCAATTCTGCCGGCCGAATTTCGGTTTCAGGAACGGCACCACGCCCGCATCGAGCCACTCGATGACGCCCGCAGCCTCCATCCACCCATTCGCTTGGCAGCCGACCACGACATCTGCACGCAGGAAAGCAACGGGTAGTTACTTCTCTAGTAATACCGTCAAAAACACGCGCAACAACATCTTACCGTTCGGGAAGTCACCCTTTGGGAGTGTCTTGCGCTTGGAAAACACCCACGGCTTCAGCTTCTTGCCCGTCGCCGTGCACTCCAGCATCACGGTGACTTTCTCCTTCTAGTAACCACCGCTGCGGATGGGCACCAACTTCACGCCCGTCTGCTCCACGGTGGACGTCGCCGACATCTCCAACCACACCAATGTCTGGTCTGCGTTGATAATATAGCGGTTGTCGATCTCGTACTCATTGCGTGCATCGCGGACGAACTGCCAAAACTCTTTGCACTGCTCCTCCACGTCTGCGCACAGAGAGGGAAGGACACATAGGAAGACGGATGAGTATCGCGCACACGAGAGCAACAAATGTAGAAATCATAAACGAACTCACTCGAAATCAACGGTGAACGAACCACTTACGCTGCTGTGTTTTATGCTCCACCTTTGTTTTCATGCGCACGCTGAGGTTCCACCGCTTGCGGAAGCGCTCCGTCCACCGCTAAATGCCTTTCCACTTGACGTCAGGGAACACTACCTTCATCACCTCGCGAGACCAGTCTTGCAGCTGGTCGACTGAAACCGCAACTCCGCAGCGTCGCCAGTCGAGGAGTTGCGCGTACACCTTTAACTCCATGGTCTGTACCAAGAAGATCTCCCGCGCCCATGAAGTCGACACCGTGCGCCGTGTGCAGCCTTGAGCTCCTCCGCTTGGGATTTCCACTCCGTCAGGCATATTCGGTGTATGTCGGACTCCCGCCCCACCTCGCTTACCGATGCCGCAAGCTCGAGCCGCACGAGCCACCTCAATTTCTCCTGGGCGGTGTAGGACTGCCGCAAATGTTGAGTCGGCTTGTGCCTGAGGGGGGGGGGGGCAGGCGTCTCGGTTCTCGGAAGACGGGTGGGGCCGTTTTTTGTTAATTGGGGGATACATCGGTATCGGCATCTTCTCGTGTGGTGCGTCACCCCACCAAGACTCCACACCGTTATCGTCCTCGGCAGTTGTATCATGGTCTGGGAACACGTCCTCCTCATCGCCCGCTTCACCATCGCCTCCAACTTCGCCGGCGCCGCTGTTACGTTTATCGGCAGCCACATCATCGTCGGCGCCCACAGCCGACTCGTCCCACGCGCAGGCTTCTGGCTGTCCCCACGGTGGTGCAGGCGGCGGAGCTTGGATGCATGCATCGGGGGCCTTGGGTGTGTCTGCTTCAGCCAGCCATTCGTCGAACGTGGCTGGTAAATACAGCTGGAGCACGGGTCGTTGGTGAGCACTTGCCGTACCAGAAACAGGCGGATTCGGAGGAGCGGGAGGAGCAGGTGGAGCAGGAGGCACAGGAGGAGCAGGAGGAGCAGGGGGTGCAGGGGGGGGCGGTGGCACTGGAGGCGCTGGTGACTCACGGGTATACCACCCGTCTTCTTTAAGTGGCCACGGGGGCGTGCTTCTTTCTTGAAGAGGATATGAGTCCCGCTAAATTCCGCCATGGCTTCGCCAGGCAGGCGGCCAAGATTGGAAACCGAATGAAAAAAAATGAAGAGGAGGGTGCACAAATCGACAACGACGGGGGCCCCTGCGGGTTAGCGGCTCGGGGTCCTCATCAATGACAGGCAAGAAACCCCCGCCTACCCCCGTAGAGAAACCTGCGTGGCAACATATACGCTGCGCTGGCAGGGAATCTTCCCCACCCTTCGAGAGGGTTCGGAAGAAATGCACATGCCACGCAGCGGCATGTGATTGGGCCGCACGGCAACATCCCCGTCACTGCTGCCACGTTCCATGGTTCTGGAAAACATTGTGCGGTGGGAAACGAATTGCAGCTGTTTTTGCCTAAAAACCATGCACGATCCCACTTGGTGCATGGTCGGTTGAATTTGCCTTATTGAGGGCTTCACCTTGGTATGTTTAAAAGTAATTTTTCATTTTTCCTCTTTTACAGGCGCATGCGCTTATAAGTTTGACTCAATTATAAGCGCACCCCCAAAAAACACTGCTTTATTATAAGCGCACCTGTGCTCATATCCGGGGTAATACGGTACATAGCGAGGGCTGGCTAGGTCGAGGTCGTAGGACCACACATGGTTGGTTGCAGGTTCGGGTTTGGAAAACCCGAAGGCGACGCCCGGGACGTACGGACGGGCCAAGCCTGGGATTCCGAAAGTTGGAGTTGTACGCGCATAGAGTGCCTCAGTTAGGAATTCGAGAAAATTCCTTAAAGCAATCATGAGAAAAAAAATCCCTTACAGATGGAAAGAACGCACTTTACACATATTTTCAATCAACACCCAAACGATATTTTGCTCCATGTTAAATACATAGGCTCACATGCCAAGTTTAACCATTGCGAATTCTCCATCGCGCGCTACAACGCGTACAAACAAATCTAGCTAGCGTAGAGCAACTAACTTGCATATACGTCTCTAACACTTCATAAAGTACGGCAAGCGGAACAGTCCACACACCCCGCATTGGGTTGTTGCCGGACTCCTTCGCTTTCGACAGTAGCTACTCTTGGATGTGGAATGGTTGAGAAGTGGCGGGGGTGGTGGTGGGAGTGATTGGGCGGTGGGAGAAGCGGTGGTGGAGGGTGAGTGGGACAAAACAAACCCCCTTGTTGCAAAACTCAGCGTTTGCCTGCAGCAAGTCTTGCCTGCAGCATTGTTGCCCGGACCTACTGCCCCAGCCAGCTTCGTTTTCTGCATGGCAGAGGTGGTGGTGGAATTGGGATGGTGGTGGGAGTGAGATGGTGATGGGAAAAGTATATGAAGAGAACACAAAAGACGACATTGGAGGAGATTGGGAGTACAAAAAAGACGGTAAAACGGGCATGGAGTGAGGAAAGGGTGGAGTAAAGAAGGGGAAGGTGGCAAGGTGGCAAACTGACAGGTAGGCATCGACGGCGAGGGCAACGGAGGGGAACGGAGGGCAACGGAGGGCTGAAAGCGCGGTTTCTCATTTTGAGGCGTCTCAGCAACAAGGGAAGAGAGAGACACACCTAGGCGACGAGGGAGGCGGAGGGCTCAAAGGGTGCGCTCTCCCCAAGGTAGGCGCCCTCCTCCACTATGATCTCCGCACTCTGCTCCAGAATCTCCTGCTGCACCGCCAGGTACTCATCGTCCTCCTGCACACATGGGTGAAGAGTGGTGAAGAGCGGTGGAGAGGGGGTTAGGAGGGAGGGAGAGGTTTTAGAAGGGTTGAACAAGAGGGCAAGCTTGGGGACACCCAGCCGATGATCTCCGCACTCTGGTCCAGAATCTCCTGCTGCACTGCCAGGTACTCATCGTCCTCCTGCACACTTGGGTGAAGAGTGGTGAAGAGCGGTGGAGAGGGGGTTAGGAGGGAGAGAGGGGTTTTAGAAGGGTTGAACAAGAGGGCAAGCTTGGGGACACCCAGCCGATGATCTCCGCACTCTGCTCCAGAATCTCCTGCTGCACCGCCAGGTACTCATCGTCCTCCTGCACACGTGGGGTACGGCGTGGGGTGGAGAGCGGTTAGAGAGAGAGGGGGTGGAGAAGCATGAAGGAGGGAGAGGCTGTAGGATCGGTGGAAAAGGAGGCGCAAGAGGGGTGGAGAGGGTTGGAGAGAATAGGAGAAAAGTTGTACCAGATTCTGTAAGGCAAGGGCTACACAGGCTGGAAGGGGAGGGCCAAGCGGGGGCACAGCATACAGTGCAGCGCATGCACCATCTCCTCCCGTCCACTCTCTTACTCCTGCTCCCGCTCCCCTTGCATGGCAGCACGCACCATGTCCTGCACGTAGGCAATGACGCCCACCTCCAGCCCCATGTCCCCCTCGTTTCTCCAGCAACCAGTGGATGCACCATATCTCGCCCATTCCCCCACTCCCACTCTCCCTCTCCTCTCCTCCCCTCCTCCCCTTTCCTCCCACGCACCATGTCCTGCACGTAGCAAATGATGCCGACCTCCAGGCCCGTGCCCGACAGCTTCTTGAGGTAGCCGAGCGTGGGGCCCTTGCTGACGTCCACGAGCGGGTGCGCGCGCAGGTAGGCGGTGAGCTTTTCGGTGATGGGGCGGATGCGGATGATGTCCTCGTTGCGCAGCACAAAGGTGGCCTCGAGAGCGAGGCACCCTGCACGCGTGTAGTTGGTCACAATCTGGTGGGGAAGAAGGGGAGGTGTAAGGGGTGCAAAGGGGTTGGTATGGGTGGGAGGAGGCAGGCACACACTGAGCTTCTCGGTGATGGGCCGGATGCGGATGATGTCCTCGTTGCGCAGCACGAAGGTAGCACCCTGTGCGGAAGTAGTTTGTGACCCCCTGGTGGGGGCAGTGGGGGGAGGTGGAGAGGGGGCGGGAAGGAAAAGAAGGGCCAGAAGGTGAGTTGGATTGGTGTGAGCACAAGTGGGGTTGGTGTGTGGTGAAGCACGAAGGGAGGGATGACAGGGGGGAAACGGCAGGAAGGGAGGACAGAGAGAGCAAGAGGGATGGCAGTAGGGAGAGCCGTGAGAGGCAAGGCAACTGATAGCTGTGAGAGCAGTGAGGCGTGGCAACTGACGGCGGTGTTAAAGATGTAGAGAGAGCCACTGACAGGCGACTCACGGCGGTGTTGAAGATGTAGTTGGGCACGACGATGGGCGAGTTGTCGTCGGCCTCCAGCTTGGTCTGCAGGAAGCCGATCTCGCGCACGCGCCCCGTCACGCTGCCCGCCTTGATCTTGTCGCCCACCACAAACGGCTGCGTTAGGAACAGGATGAGCCCGCCGAAGAAGTTGGTCACTATCTCCTTGGAGGCGAATCCGAGCGCCACACCTGGTTGGGGGGGAAGAGGGCAGGGGGAAGGAAATCAGGGAGACATCTGAGTAAGTGTATGAGAGAATGAGTCTTCCTAAGGAGTTGGCCACTCTCCTTGGACAAAAATCCGATCGCCACAAGGGGTGGCAGGAGGAGGGAATCGGGTAAGAGAGTGGGAGTTTGGGAAGAGGGTGCGCTGATAAAAGAGGGTGCGCCGCTCACCCAACCTGTGCGACCTGAGGCCGCTCACATCATAGCTGTAAAGGATGTGGTGCAAAGGATGTGGTGCAAAGGATGTGGTGCAAAGGATGTGGTGCAAAGGATGTGGTGCAAAGGATGTGGTGCAACAAAGCTGCATCAGCAGCTCGCTTACCTGAGGGGGATGCTTTGCACAAAACACCCACCGGAAATTCCTCCCACAGCGATGAGCGACTTAAGACTGAAGCCCAACATTTCTGCCAGCGTTCCCACCGCCGCCACCCGCAGCAGCATCGTCAGCAGCTTGCTCACATTCACCAGCACGGGCTGAAAAAGGAAGGGGGGGGGGGGGGGGGGGGGGGGGGGGGGGTGGAAGGAGGGGGTGGTGGGGGGGAGAGGCGTGGGGGGATGGGGAGGATGATGGAGCGTGGAAGAAAGGGGCACACTGGTTGGTCCACTCTCAGCAGCAACATCAGCAACTTTCAACCTCACCAGCACACGCGGGGCCCATCGGGTACAAGCCTTACTGTACGAGCACATGACACGAGCACATGACACGAGCACATGGCACGAACACATGGCACGAGCACATGGCACGAGCACATGGCACGAGCACATGGCACGAGCACATGGCACGAGCACATGGCACGAGCACATGGCACGGGCACATGGCACGAGCACTTGGCACGAGGCCCTAGCTTGTTTGACTTATCCAAAACTCCCACCTTACCCTCGCCTATAACTCCCACCTTACCCTCGCCTATAACTCCCACCTTACCCTCGCCTATAACTCCCACCTTACCCTCGCCCAAAACTCCTACCTTACCCCGCCCCACCTCGCCCTCACCTTATCCTCGGGGTGAGCAGCAGCCACGAGCTTCAAGACTCGGTCCTTCCACCCCGTCGCGAACCACGTAGCAGCCGCCACCCATGCCACCAACCGCGCCTTCGCCACCATTGCTGCTGTCACTGGCAGCTTCAGCAGCGGCACCAGCACGCGCAGGCTGCAAGCAGACAAAACAAGGGATGGTACGAATGACAAGGAGAGTGATGGCGCAGGATGCTTGTAGCAGGTGAGCGGCAGGGCGACGAGGGGCAAGGCAATGAAGAGCAGGGGTAAGGCGATGAAGCGCAGGGGTAAGGCGATGAAGAGCAGGGGTAAGGCGATGAAACGCCCGATGGATGGACTCACTGGTGCGTGAGGAAGAAGGCGATCCCATTCTGCTGCGGGGAGGCCGGAAGCGTGAACGACTGGTGGATGCCCTTCCCACAACAAAATTCCCGCAAGAGGTCGGAGGAAAACTCAATACCTCTGTCAGAGTGCAGACGCAGGACACGAAGGTCCGTGTGGAACCACTTGCGGAGCTGGAGACAGACAGCGCGGATCCAAGGGTTCGAAACATAAGGGACCTCCCCCTTGCTGCGTAAGGGAAAGTATCACTCGCATCTCTGTCCCTTGACGCGGGCTGGACCCCATACGTCCATGTGGAGAGTCTGCAGGAAAGCAGCCGTCGAGGGAAACGAGGAGTGAGGAGCGGCGCGCTGCCGCCCCTCAACGCAAGGAAGGCAGGGGGGGGCAGGCGAGGGTGGAAGGGGAGGCTGAGACCAAGGAAGACCAGAGACAAGGAGACGGGAGTGTATGCCATGGAGGCGTGGCAGGGAGGAGTGTCCAAGGCGATGGTGCCAGAGGAGAGTCTGGTGCAAGAGGAGGCAACACGAACAAGGGGCTGATAGCTGACCTGACGCAGACACCTGACCAGACGCAGCGACCTGAGGAGGCTCAGTAGTCAGTGTGTACAGGCTCGACCCTGGCCGACGAGTGAACAAGGCCAGGAGACGGCCCGTCCGTGCACACGTGCAGATCGCCACACGCTGTCCTCCAGGGGTAAAGGTATCAACCCAAGCATCCTGAAGGACTGCGTTTTTCACCAAGTTCGTAGTGAACGACTGGAGGTGAAGACTGTCAGTGAGCCATGCTATCCCTCCACCTGCTGCTGGCGCGGACCACCACCTTGACCACCACCTCGACCACCACCACCCCTGCCGCCACCGCGTCCACCGCCGCCACTACCACCGCCCCCACCCCGGCCACCTCCTCCGCTGTTGCCGCCGCCACCCCCGCCGCCGCCACCACCCCCACTGCTGCCACTAGCCCCTCCAGCCCCTCCACCACCCCCACCGCCGCCACCGCCCCCACCACCGCCTCCCCCGCTGTCACCACCACCTCCCTTGCCCCCTTTGCCTTTGCCACTGCGACGCCCACTCGGAGTGGACGCTGTCCCGACCTGCTCAGTCCCAAGGAGGTCGACAGTGGCAGCAGATGCGACAGAGGGGAGAAGGGGGGAGGGGGAACACCCCTCAAAGAAAGGGGTGCGGGGGTCGCCACGAGAGGTACCTACAGCGACTATGCTAGTCTCAGCTGCAAGCAGTTCCTTCTCGAGCAGATCAATGGTGAGCTCAGTGGGGCAGCGAGCGAGGAAGTGGTCCCTAACCGCACGAAGAGAGTCAGGGAGACGGGTGACGATGTGGTAGAGAGTCAACCACAGCGGGGGGGGGTTCTTGGCAAGAAACTTAGCGGGCATAGCGGCACGAAAGCGAGCCTCACTAGAGCGGAGGTGCGTGATGAGGTCAGCGACTGTAGAGAAGGTGGACAGGTCTGGGAACAAGTAGGGAAGCGAGAGACGACCTAGCGCAGCAGAGGCAGGTGAGGAGTAGCACGCAACTACAGCTTTGTACAGTGCCTGTGCAGTCTTGTGCTGGCCAAAGTGCTCGCGCTCATCTAACGGCAGGGAGGCGCGAATAGCGAAGCGAGCGTGGGCGTCACGAGTCTGCCACTGTGAGCGGGCAGTGCTGTCAGCATCAGCAGCAGGGGTAGCAGCGTGGCCCAGCGCGTGATCGTACAGTGAGATTTCCTCCTTGGCAGTGAGCTGGAGATACAGGTGCAGGTCATCGAGCTAGGTGTCAAATTTCAGCGGGCGGCCCTCAGAATCGAAAGCGAGTACGGTAGGGCTAGCCATGGCCGCAGGAGGAGCAGGAGTGGCAGCGGTAGCAGTGACAGCAGCAGCAGGAGCGCATTGCGGAGGGCGGCGCGGTTCTAGCAGGGCGGCGCGACTCGACAGGGGCGGCGCGGCTCGGCTGGATCAAGGCGCTAGCGGGGCTGCAAGGGCAGGGCTGCGCGGAGGGAGGTACGCGAGGGCGTGCAGGGTGGGGCGGGGCCTGGTCTCACGGGGCGCGCAAGGGCGGGCTAGTGGGGCGGGGCCGGGACTCGAGGGGCACGCGAGGGCGTGCAGAGCGGGGCGGGGCCTGGTCGCGCGGGGCACGCAAGGGCGAGCTAGCGGGGCGGGGCCTGTTCTCGAGAGGCACGTAAGGGCGCGCGGGTGGGGCAGGGCCGGTCGCACGAGGCACGCAAGGGCGCGCGGGTGGGGCGGGGCCGGTCGCACGAGGCACGCAAGGGCGCGCGGGGGGGCGGGGCCGGTCGCACGAGGCACGCAAGGGCGCGCGGGTGGGGCGGGGCCGGTCGCACGAGGCACGCAAGAGCGCGCGGGTGGGGCGGGGCCGGTCGCTAGGGGCACGCAAGGGCGCGCAGGTGGGGCGGGGCCGGTTCGTAAGGGGCGCGCAAGGGCGCGCGGGGCAGCGGGTCGCGTAAGGGCGCGCTACGAGGAGGGCGGGGCCGATCGTGAGGTGCACGCTAGGGTGTGCGGGCTGAGCGGGGCCGGTTCGTACGCTAGGGCGCGCTACGGGGCAGAAACGAGGTGCGCTCGCGGGCGCGACTAAGCGAGGCGCGCTCGGGCGCGACTAACGGATTAGGTGGGCCCTATCATCGGTCCTATGTTACGACCTAGGCTCGTAATACCATGTTAGAAACTTAGAACGAACGAGAATGATGGAACTAGGCAAGAGAGGGATACAAGTAGGAAACCTGTAACCCTGTGACGACCGCTGAGTAGCCTGGTCGTCTGCCCAAGAAGCATCTGAGTGCCCTGTGAGAACAACCCGGTCCCGCCCTCCAAGCACAAGCCCCATGCCCGACGTACTGCACAAGTAGCGCAACACCCTCTTAGCAGCATCCATGTGCTCCTTCCTGTGACGGCCAGGAGCGACATAGCGTGCTAAGATGCTAAGGGGGTATGCAAGGTCAGGTCGAGTGCAGGTCATCAGGTACATGAGGCAGCCCACAAGCTCTGGATACGGGCCACTCGGCTCTACGGACTCATCCGAAGGCAGAGCTGAGAGCGAGTGACCGGTAGGCAGAGGAGTGGACTGAGGCGAGGAGTACGTGAAGCGGAAGCGCTGGAGAACCTGCTGCACCATGTGTGACTGAGTCAAGGTGATGGTGCGCCGTGCTCTGTCCCGGGTGATCCGCAAGCCAAGATAGCTTGTCAGCTCACCCAGGTCTGTACACGTGTGTCTCCTCTGCAGCTCCGACTTCACGTGGGCGAGTGCCGCTGTGTCAGCTGTGGCAAAGACCAAGTCGTCAACGTACACGAGGATGTAGAACGGCGGCAGCGAGGTGTCGGTGCGTAGAAACAGCGACGGGTCAGCAGTAGAGGGAGCGAACCCAAGAGCCGCAAGCGTCGTCCTCAGTGTGTCGTGCCACTCACGTGGCGCCTGACGGAGACCGTAGACCGGCCGCTGAAGCCTCCACTGGGTGCCAGGAGGAACCGACCCAGTGAAGCCAGGAGGGCGGCGCAACCAGATCTCCTCGTGCAGGCTGCCCTGCAAGAAAGCAGTGCTGAAGTCAAGTGAGTGAAGCTCGTAGTCGCGGTGAGCGGCTATGTGCAGCAGCACCCGAAGAGTGGTCATCTTCGGGGTGGGGGAGAAGGTCTGGAAGAAGTCGACTCCCTCTCGCTGACTGAAGCCTCGAGCCACGTAGCGTGCCTTGAAGACAGGAGGAGAACCCGGCGGCCGCTTCACCCTGAAAATCCACATGCCACTGACGATGTTCGCCCCAGGAGGGGGAACGTCGTCGACGTAGGTGCCTGTGGACTTCCAGGAAGCCATCTCTGCGTCCATGGCTGTCTGCCACTGAGAGGAGTAGGGACCCGCCATCGCCTCAGCGTAAGAGCGCGGGGTCGGGATGTCTGGTGCATCCGGGTCTCCCTCAGGGGCAACAAGCATGGACACGAGATGGGGCAAAGCAGCAGCAAAGCACTGGAACTCCTCCTGTCTGTCCTCAAGGACGTCCGTGCCAAGAGCACACTCACCCCCGACGGACGGAGGACAGGCAGACTCAGACTCAGACTCAGCGACAAGGCTGGCAGCGTAGTCTAAGCGACAGCGAGCAGCAAAGTCAACCAGCTCAGCGACCAGAGCAGACGCAGCAGAGGACTCAAAGGTCGGGTCAGTGACAACTGTAGCGAGGAGACGCGTAACAGTGGGACTGGCCGCACGACGGGAGTCAGACTCCGGGTCAGGAAGAGTAGGAAGAGATGACGCAGGAGGAGACGGCAGCGGGACACGCTGCGGAGCAGTGGAGGGACGCAAGGTCATGTAGTGAGTGCCAGGGACAGGAGGGGGACGCTCACGTGGGATACGACGACCAGTGCGAGTAGTACGAACAGGCGACGCAGGACGAGACTCAGGCTCACGACGCTCTGTAAGACCTCCTGTGGGACCAGTGTAAGGAGAGGGAGCAGGGAGAGGCGAGGCAGGCGGTAACTGTGACTGCGGTGGGACAGGCAGAGGACACTCGACGGTGGGAGGAGGACTAGGAGGAGGAGCCTGACCAAGAACCTGCTGAAGGAGTGGTACGAAGTACGGTCGCGGCCGCACAGCGTCTCCAGAACCAGCAGGGACACGAGCGGCAGCCCCAACGCCCGAGTCCTCAGCACCAGCAGCAGCTCCAACACCCGGGTCCTCAACACCAGCAGTAGCTCCAACGCCCGGGTCCTCAACACCAGCAGCAGCTCCAACGCCCGGGTCCTCAGTACCAGCAGCAGAGCCACCGGTCAGGTCCTC